GAGAATGACATTTCTTGGAATAAGTGGATTATTGCATGCAGTGACAGAGCTCAGGCTTTAACAGAAAAACATGCATGTGTGATTTCTCAAATAAAAAGAGTCGTACTTGAAACTAAATTTACTCACTGTTCAATTCATACTGAAGCTTTAGTAGCCAAAACGATCTCTGAAAACCCAAAAACTATTTTGAATCAAGCTGTGAAAATTGTTAATTTTATTAAAACCAAGTTTTAAATTCAAAAATATTTATGATTTTATACCAAGAGACAGACAGTGAACATAAAACGCTTTTGTTACATTTCGAATTAAGGTGGTTATCCAGAGGCAAAGTTTTAAATCTTTTTTAACTTTGATCAGAAATTCAAATTTTTTTCTGTGATTCAAAATTTGAATTGCAAAAATTATTAGTGAATTATTAGTGAATTATGGTTGCCACGTTTAGCATATTTAGCTGATATTTTTGGAAAGTTAAATGAATTCAATTTAGGATTACAAGGACAAAGTGTTAATTTGTTTACCATTAGAGATAAAATAAATGCAATGACAAAAAAAAAAAAAAAAAAAACTCAAACTAATAATCAAAGAGTTGGATAATAATTTTATGGTTTCTACCACTTTTAGAAAGTTTTCTAACCGAAAATAATTTGCAAATAAAAGAAGAATTAGCATTGACATTAAAAATCATCGTTTTTCATTGATAAATAACTTCATTGTTTTTAATAAATAACTTCATAAATAACATCAACGTGTATTTTTCTGAGGATTATGAAAAAGAAAATTGGATTAGAAATCCATTTTGTTCAAATGTACCTGAAATTTTATCTCATGAAGAAAAAAAAAGGACAACTGACAGAAATTTCTTGTGACCGAACTTGAAATTTCCTGTGAACTGAAGATTTCAAAACTTGTTAATTTTTGGTTTAAAAAAAAAAAAAAAAAAAAAAAGGCATTTAAAGGCATTTAAATAAAGCTGTTAAATTTTTACTACCTTTTTCCACAACCTATTCGTACGAATAAGGATTTTCTTCCGTGAAATTTTCTTCTTGAAAAAAAAAATACATAGCAAAATTAAAAGCAGATCCTAATTTACGGTTAAAACTAAGAGAAATAAGACCCAAACATAAAGAAATTGATCACTCTTAAACAGGCCCACATTTTGCACTAAATTTTAGAATTAAAGTATTATAACTCAAATTTTGATAATTAAAATCATAACCAATCTTTAATATTTTTATATGTGCATATTTAATACAAATAGCCAATAGATTGTGCAGATGGTAAAAAATACAGTCAAAAGTCGTTAATTCAGACACCCATAATCCGGAATGATCTATAATCCGGACCTCAAAGCTAAAAACTTTCTGCGCATGTGCCGTGTTAGCACATGCACCCAGGCGTTTTACGCGTGCGCGTAAGAACTTGACTACTGCGCATATGCGTGTGAGCAAGCGCAGAATACGTTTTCGCCTGCGCGTTTAATGTATAACGGACGGTGTAAGCTAAAATTATCTAATTATCTATTTCAGTTAATGTTAATGATTGTGTTGTTCCTTAATCTTCGAATAGGATCCCGCTTATTATTTTTTGCAGACTGTAAGAGCAATTTTATAAAAGTAAACTTGAACTTTCGATTATGTCAAATAGAATTTCCGATGCTGGAACTTCCAAAGGATCTACAAAACGAAAGTATGTTTCAATGTCCAACAAACAAAAAGTGAAATTGCTGCAAAAAATGGATAAACCCATGAAGAATGTGACAGAGAGGTTAGTGAAAACGAAAAAATTTCGATTAACAAGTTAGTCGGTATTCTCGGCACAGCAATTAACGGGACTTGAACAGCGGAACTTTTTAACTGAACAAGAAATTATGTCTGTTTATAGAATTAAAGAGAAAGTATTATCACATAAAACGAAGCAACTTAAACAACTTACATTGAAAGAAATGTTTAATAAAGTAAACAAATAAATATTAAGCTTTTTTTCTGTAAATTTTGATACCCTTTAGATAATAATTGTTCTTTATTCATAAATTACGGTTTCATATTTTTAATTTTAGAATTTCTGCATGCCATCTTACGAGATTTAAACTGATGATCTATAATCCGGAAAAATCGATAATCGGGAATCGAAGCCCGACGAGTCCGGATTAACGACTTTTGACTGTATACCTTTTCAATATTTCTATTGAGAAACGGAAAAATAATCACTGTAAAATGTAGTGGTGGTACCAAAGTTTTTCAATTACTGTTTAGATGGTGCACGTTAGTCAAAAGGTTGAGAACTGCTAATTTAAAGTATATCTTAGAAATAACATTTCTATATCAACTGGCAAAACAACAGCTGATGTTTTTATAGTATGATGGACAATACACGCTACTCATCCCACTCTAATTAAGCCATAAGTTTCTGTTTAACAAAAACATTTTATCCACATATTTCAGAGTTTCAGAGATTCCTCCAAAGTTAGAATGGATATTATTGGCACAAAAACCAATAACTTTTTCTTTTAAATTATTTTCTTCAAGTAATTAATTAGTTGTTGACAATATCGGATGTTTCACCAAGTAAGGATATAAACTATACAATTTTTACTCTAACTCCATAACTATAATCTATAAATCTAACGAGTATTGAAAAAAGTTTTATTTCCTTGTGATTTAACACATCAGTTAAGAAAAAAACAAGTGAACATTTTTCCAAATCATTGTGCACAGCTCTTTAAAGCATAATGCATGAAAATATTTAGTATTACTGCTTCGGTCTTGGTTTGTGCGCATATAAACTTAGGCTCAAATGCCAATGAAGCAGCTTGGACATAAAATCCATACACCTAAAGCTATGGTTGTGGCAGGCAATATGGTATAAAAAAGTACCTTCTACTGCATTTATAATTCTTCTTCCTCATCACCCTATTTTCTCCTGTTTGAAGAAATGCTTTGATGACAAGCTACATGCAGCAGCAGAGTTTGAGATTTCATGTTTATTACCATTTATATGAAGATTAATATCTCGTATATCCAATATGGCTTATTGAAAATTTTGAAGAACATATATTGCACCATACATCGGAATTTCAATATTTTTCAATAAATGTGTATTCCTTCTGTAGGTCTTCGTTAAAAGTACACTTCCTTTTTTTGAACCCATTCCTAAAAAATATATGATAATCACTATTGTCAAATTTGTGCCATGTAAAAACAGGTTGATGTGTGAACATGGAGAGAATAGGGGGCGAAAAGGGGTTTCTTTTATTATTATGTATGGTTTTTTATTATTATTATTGATGTTTCTTGCCTTAGTAATGTTGTTAATTTGTTGCTGTTTCATGTAATTATTACTGCACTGCCATTTTTCAAAAAGACTGTCATCTTTTCCTTCCTAAGCTTATAAGGTATTTCTCCCAACTTCTTAGCATGCCTTCGTGTAGTAACGACCAGCACACTCGGTGCATATTCGTAAAATCTGTGGTTCGAATCGCGGCGAGGGCAATGCTCATTTTTCATGTCTTCTCTTGCTTCGAAATAACCTAATGTCTCTACAAGCTGGTGAAAAATTAGTCACCAATGACTGGGGACTTTTCAGCAGAGGTGGGTGAATAATCAGGTAGTACAATCAAATTATATACACACAGAAACAAAAAATAATAAAGCTGAATTCAAGTAGCAGTATATTCACAATCAGTATATAACAATATACATATATATATATAACTTATTTACTAAAGAAATATTGATTATATTATCTCCTAAGATTAGGAGATTAATTTTAGTAGAATTATCTAAAAAGAGTGAATCCATAGTTAGTAAATTTAATTCCGAAACCTGTTTTAAAGTAACTTGAATGCAAATTGTTAAAAATGTTAACTGGGACTTGAATTAAATCATGAATAACAAAATTTCAATTGTAAAAAGAAATTAAATCAAAAGCAAGTAACCATTGCCATTGATCGGAAATTAGTTGACTTTTCAAGGGGAACAAGCCAACTCCCATTCAATGAACAATAATTAAGAAATAAATACGAAGCTGTTTCGTCCTTTACTCAAGTAATAAAGGGATGCCAAACTGGCAATTTAAGTTAGGCAAAATATTTCCGTGAATTGAAGGGATCATGAACCAATGCAGAGCACTAATGAATCCATTCTGATTAAGCATTTTCGCTAATTCAATTTTAAGTGAAAAGCAATTTATGCAGTAAAATTGATAAATTACTTGAGTGATTGTCCCCCGACACCCTCGTGTTTATGTATTTTAATTCAAAACTATTTGTAAAAATTAAACATTGGAAATCGGCATTATGAAAAAGAACTCAAATTAATTGAAATAAACATTAGAAAATTACAAAATATAAGAAATATAATGCAATCTTTGCAAAAACAAATCAAAAAAGTAAAAATATAAATTAAAAATATATATAAAATAAGAAAAGGGAATGTACATGAAGATATAAAAGGCCAGAAAAAGCATTAATTAACTTGTGTTCTTTCTAGTGGGAAGTGGGCAAAGTGTTTTCTTCGCGTCTTACTCAGAAGGGTTGCGTTTCCGAAATTCTTGATCGGCAGCGAGGGCTTTGAATTATATCAGTTGGCGAAACTTGTGTGAAGTAATTTATGGGAGAGGGAGTGACTAGGAATGCTTGAGGGATGTTTCTTGTCGGAATTAAACTTACTAATTATGGATTCACTCTTTTTAGATAATTCTACTAAAATTAATTTTAGGAGATAATATAATCAATATTTCTTTAATAAATAAATTACTATTAACTTACTTTGCAGCAATTGTGCAAGTAGTAGAATAACTCGATTTCACACAAAGTGAATTTAAGATCATACAACAATATATATATATAATGGTATATAACAATTTCTCACATATTCAGCATTAACCAAATTACTAAACATTTTCTTGTCAAAGGAATTTAACATAGAATTCTATAAACTTAATAATATAAATAAGGAAGTCAACAAGTATACTTCATTGCTTAATTTTCAAAAATATTTTACCTTCATCTATGGGTTTTTTATCTTCTCCATCTAGATCAATTAAACTGCGAAGAATTTTGAAAACTTTCTTTCTATAATCAGTTACTTGACACACATCACAATTAACTAGTAGCAGTGACTGTAGTTTCTTCAGTTTTGTCTACCGCAAAAAAAAAAAAAAAAAAAAAAAAAAAAGGTTCATATATAAACATAATTGTATGAAAAGGTAGCAGGGAGTAAAATTACAATACACTCATATGAAGTATAAAATGCATACTAATGAAGTGGACACAAGAAGTAAATCACTGTGATTTTTCACAACAGATAACAGTAGCAGTCGCGTGTCTTGCCCCCCCCCCCCAAAAAAAAACACCGTAAGATTTCCATGTTATTTTAATTAATTTTCCATATCACCAAAAATATTTTACTTCTCTCCTTTAACAAAAACTACACCTTTAAATCAGGAAATTGAATCTTAAACTTTAAAACTGAATTCAGAAAACTTTGGCATATGTTTCTGCAATTCACCTTTAATTATAATAATGATACATACAGAAAAATACCAAAATGTTTTTGAACAAAATTAATATATAGCATAAATTTAAAATAATCTGTTATGTAAAAGCTGGCAATCTATATGTTTGTGCAAAATTTCATCACAGCCTTTATGATAAAATTCATAATGGCTGTGAATTTCATTTGGCTTGAGAATTTTTCAAGTTTGCATGATTGTATAACGGATGAAATAAAAAAATATCATACAATTAATTGGGAGAATGAAAGTAAACACTGGTAGAATGGCAGTATATTTAAAAAAATACATTTGATCCTTTGATGATGTGCTTTCTGATCATATAGCTACCAAAATAAACCAATGCATATCTATAGATAATATAAATTCTTGAGAAAAAAAAGGTACTTGTTGTCTCAAAACTTTATATACCTTTATGCAGGCTCTAAAAGGCAACACCTTCCATTACAGAAACAAATACTGCTTTAAACCCACATTTAATTAACTGTCTATTGCACCATCTGATGAAAGTTAGTTAATTAGCCTAACAGTATGAAACACAAAACAGTTACAAACAAAATCCTAGAACCATGAAAAAAATTATCAGCACTAAGATCTCTTTCCATCCCCTGCAGCTTTTCACATTGTATCACCAAATATTTTATCTCATTTGGTAGCCATTTTCGCTCAGAATACAAAATTCCATATTCTTAAAGAAAAATCCATGATCTTTCTGATAATCTGCATTTCCCTGAAAAATACAAAGCAACGTACTATGTGGCCAGAACAGACAACCCCTGACATTGCCAATGTTATGCACGTACATGCAGCTGAAAAAGCTTGATTTCTGCTTTCAAATTCAACAGTAATTTTCCTGATTAATGTTTGTTCTTCTTGCATTCAAGTACATTTTTCCCCCTCATAAGGAATCCTAATGGAACTGTGGAATTTACTGGCTGATGAAAAAGAAAGCTTTGCATTTCTTCAGAAACATGGTGTTTTGTTCAACGATAGAGAATTCAAAAATTTGCAAAGCATGAAGTTATACTTCTTAAGTGATGGATTTTATGTACTGAAATTTGTGTATGATGCTCATGTGTGCCATATTTTTAAGTGAAAACAAGTGACAGTGTGCACAACACCAATTTCTGCAAGACGCTGAATTTGTGCAACACTCCTTTTTTTTTTTTTTTTTTTTAAGCTAAAAAAAATTGCTCTGTACATGGGGAGAACAATGCCTAAAAAAATTACGTGCTACACTATGGCCGTTTCTTGCATTTTCATTAAATTGATAGCTGTTTTATGTAATTCTTAGTTTGTGCCATTTTTCAGCATCTTAAATTGGCCTAAAAAATACAAAACTACTTTTTTTTTTTTTTTTTTTTTTTTTTTAATTTTAAACAGAAAAAGATCTTGCAGAAGAAATGAAAATAGAAAAAACAGAGAAGGAAGACTGCTAATCACATTTCAAAGAGAGAAAGCAATAACAATGTGCAAAGATTTTTTTTAAAAAAAGGGAGAAAAAAAGAAAAATGTTCATTCCATTAAGTCAATTCATAATGCTGATGTGGCTTAAGTAGCAAGTAAAATTTTTAAATGATAAAACCAAACAGTACTAAATTACAACAACAGTACAGTGAAAGACATATATTGCCTTGCTAAGATGCTCAATTTAAAAACCAAGATTCTCACGAAAAAGTATACTAGAACGTTTCATTTTTTATTAAATACACTTATCTACAACACTATTTGAGTCTTGATAATAAATAAAAAATAAAATTTAGAATTCAGGACACTTTTCTGCGAAAGGGGTTTCCAGTTGCCAAATGCAGTAGCTTGTTTATATCGCATCATAAATAGCTGAACAATGACACTGTTGCTAGTAAAAACAAAGAATAAACATCAATCCAGAAATTTTCTCAGCAAAAGTATATTTACAGCTATCCATTGGTGAAACTTGGCGATTTTTGGCGGTACATAGATACAGAGTTTGTGCAATTCTTTGACTTCATTTATGGTTCTTCCGCGAAAAATCGCCAAATTATTTTACAATGTTACAAGTTGCTTAAGCAAATGAATTTGCTGTTACAAGATACGATGAACACCTGCAAATTAAGTACAATCTTACTTATCTTGATATGCAATGCCTTCCGCAAAATGGTGAAATAAACATCAGCACAGCACTGACTGCCCCAATCTAGATTCCTACTTCACTGAATTCATATGAGGATGATTGTTTGAAAAGAAGCAGATGTTTTCAGTAATGTCAAATTGGCAGTTTTATGCTTTTTATATTAGAAGTTAATTTCATAAAATCTTTTATATTATTTTATTAATTCTAGACTTAAAAGTCTTATTTTCATGAAGTTCTACATTCTCTCATAGTTATCACCATTTATTAACATTTCACATCTACATTAATGTTTGGCACTAAGTGGTGCCTTGTTAACAGAAGGGTACCAAATTCAGATTTGATTAACACTCTAAAAATTTTTAATATTATAATACACATAAAATTATTGAATTAGAAACCATTTTAATATTGGATGATTGCTTCCCCAATAACACTCCTCCTAAGGACAAGAAAAAAGCAACCTACAGAAATTCAGCTCCACAAGCAAACGTACTCAATGTGAAAGTATGCATTTATACATTTATTGCAAAGACTGAAACTTTGCATTAATGTATTTCTGTTTCAAAATTTAGCACATGCCCCCCAAAGAAAACTTATGTAACTATATTTCTTAATTGTTTTCAAAGTTTTAAATTGTTTGTGATATTAACTTATTTTAATACTTATTCTTTAACTACTCAGCACTGTGTGCAATTGTTAAAATTTTAATTTAAAGTAGTTAAGATTCTATTAAAAATACAGGCAGAGCACTTTTTTAAGATTTAGCTCTTTCACATTCTGCAATGCTACTGAAAATAAATGTCACTTACAAAAGCAACAGGATAAAAAGCAGGTAGTTTTTACCATTATCATTGCAGATGGATATAACTATTAATAAACATGCATAAATTTTTCAAATAAACTTAAAACTTACCATTGGTTTGAGAGGCCCAACGTCTTTTATCCTATTATTGCTCAAGTTGAGATGTGTAAGATTTGAACACCCACGGAGATAAAATAATGTATTCGCAATACTATTTGATGAAAGGTCCAACTAGAGCACACAAATAAAAATTTTAAAAACAATTTATCATGCACAAAAAAAACATTTCACTACAATTCATAATATATAAATTAATTTACAAGTAAAAATTACATGTATATGTATATCTTTGTGCATGTATATATTAAGTCATCCAGAAAAGTTCTGCATTTTTTGTATGATTATTATAAGCAGTAGTACAAAAACATAAATTTCAGTCAATTACATACGCATCATGTTGTTCTATGACTTTCTGCTTTCCAGCACATGAAAAATTCTTTTTTTTTTTTTTTTTTTTTTTTTTTTTAATCAGCTTTATTCAAAGAACTTAAAGTACTGTTTGACAATCTCCAAACAACTGAACTCTGGCCATTCACAGAATTTTGAAGTCACAGACAAAAATTCAAGGGATAAGGTTTATTGAATGCAAGAAGTGAGACAAAACATTACAGCCACACATAATAAATCCTTGGCATTCATTGACCACTTGGAGAAAGTGCAGAATTGCCCACTGCTTGGTACGTTTTTAAGAATTTCACATACTTGGTATGCACGTACACATCAACCTATTTTCACTTAAAAAACATATCCCAGAATTGCACAAAAGTGGCATTGTGACTTTGTCCACGTACATATTGATTTATTTTCACTTAAAAAGCCAAAAATTTGACAAAAATCCAAATCTTCTTACTCTTGTAAAAAGCACCAAACAAATAAGTGGGCGATTCTGCACTTTAGCGGACCACTTTAACTATTACTCAGTTCTTAACACTTTGCTTCAGTTTCTGATTTTAAAACTGCAATTAGGAAATAATATTTTCCAGATTTATTGTTTGATACAGTTGAACAATTAATTCATAGTGATTAATTCATAGAACAATTAATTCCTTTATAATATCACCATGCATTAAAGTATTACTTTTTTGTGATTGTAGCTCCCTCTCAATGTTATTAAAGATTTTATTTAACCTTAATTCATGATCTTTTCCTTGTAACATTATTGTTTATTATCCCCTTCTCAACTCCAGTAATGATTTAAAAAAAAAAAAAAAAAACACTTTTTTTTTTCAGCTATGAAACCCACGTCTAAACTCAAGCAAACATATTCTGCTATGTAAAAATATTAGCATACATAACTCCAGCTTACATAACTCAATCTTCTTCTAAAGATCATGTACTGCAGTGTACTTTTTGGAATATTTAGTCTACCTGATAGCTGCTGAACTGGATAATGTGGATTTTTAATGATACCTTCTTTTAACAGGTTTTTGTCATCCAAAGCTAGTGTTATCTTGCAGACTTAAATTTCTCGAACCACCTCCAAACTATGCCACCAGAAACAGAAATTTGTTCATATATAGCTAAATTTTGGAAGCAGTTTCACTAGAATATTATGTTTTCCAAAATCGAAATACATGCTTTGATGAAAATGAACCTATGAATTCTCCATTGAAATAAAAACTATGCACAATACATGCTAGAATTACTCCAGGAGAGAATAAAAAACCAAACTTAAACATATGCCTTGATCTAGTTTAAGCCACTTCTTATTAGCAGTAACAAAATAATTAGAAAACAATGCACCTCCATTTGAAAAACTGCAGAACTCTCCAATTGACCCAATATGCACACACTCACATATATACACCTTCATTGTATAATTTAAATATTTTATAGAAAAAAAAAAAAAAAAAAGCAACTACATTTTTGTGAAATTCATTATCTTGATACAGTTCTCTCAAAGCTTTCTGCTCAGTATATATCAAAAGTGCAGCAATTTAAAAAACTGTATTTTTATATTCAAGTAGTTTCTATATTTATTTTCACAAATGCATTTTAAACCAATATTTTTAACATATAAATTCAAAATCTTTTTATCTTGCACAGTATCAATCACAGAACAGAAACAATAAATTTTAGCTTTGGTTACCTAAGTTTTCATAGCTTCTTTCTTAAACCAGTAACATAAAATATTTTTTACTTAATAAGATAGAAACAGAAGGTGAATTTTCAAACCTTTTTAAATTTTTTAATAGAAAAATACACAAAATAGCTTGGGTGTGTCTATATTTTAGGATGCCCCTTAGTTTATTGCCAAGTTGTTGTTTCATTTAATGCTAAATTGTTGTTTCATTTATGAACCTGAGTAGTTGAATGTTATGGAAACCTTATTATGACCTTATGACCTGACTGCAGTGAATTTGACCAATGGGAAAATATTCGTATGGGCTTATTTTTGTGTTAGATGTCAGTTAGAAAGTACATTGCTTATTTTGTGCTTTGCATCATAAAATAGCTGCTGGTGGTAAACTGTGTGTTTGGTGGTACAGAACAAGAGAATGGTTAAGGACAGAAGAAAAGAAACTTTGTTGGATATAATTCAATAAAATATTTTACCTGGAACAACAATCATATCCAACTGCTGGAAGCCATGTGACTGTCTTTTTGAAAATGGCTTCGTTTACTTCTCAGTAAATCACACAGTGACATTTAAGGATCTGGAAACCAGAGTTAAGGAATTTTGTGTGACACAGACTGAGCACACAGAAATTCCTAAATATGGTAAGTCTATATTTCCTTTTTGCAGTACGTTTATGCGATAACATGCATTTCCTTTTTGTGTTTTTCCCCCTCTTTCCTAATGGCAGATTGTGAACAATTACAGTGCAACCCTGTCCATTAATCTATACACAGCCAGGTGAGGTGGTCTCTTTATTATGGAGGCACCTAATAGATGGGCCATCATCGCCTCCTATGAAGGGACAAACAGTTACAACCATGCCTTCTCCGGGATTTGAACCCAAGCTCTTCTTTCATTGTTTGATTTAAAATTAAGTTTATTGAGATTATATATTGAGGAATTATAAGCCGAATAAAATAAAAATATCTGCCCTGAAGATAAGGATAGTGCTGACAGATCAACTTCCAGTTCATTGTGTGCCGCGACATCCCCCCCCTCCCGCAGAGCAGCATGAAATTGATAAACAGATTTCGGAATGGTTAGAGAAACAAAGGATATGCCTTTATCCATTTTTTGCAGCAATTCCACTTTTTGTTTCATGGGCATCGAAACATGCTCTCACTTTGTAGATCCTTTGACAGCTCCAGAATCGGAAATTCTTTTTGACATAGTCGAAAGTTCAAGCTTACTTTTATAAAATTGCTCTAACAGTCTGCAAAAAATAATAAGACGGATCCAATTCGAAGATTAAGGAATAACGCAATTTGCAACATTAACTGAAACAGATAATTAGATAATTTTAGCTTAGCTTATACCGTCTGTTATATATTAAACGCGCATGCGTAAATGTATTATGTGCATGCGTAAAGGTCTTATGCAACATGCATTTATGCATGCGCAGAAAGTTTGTAGTTTTGAGGTCCGGATTATAGATCATTCTGGTTTATGGACGTCCGGATTAAAAACTTTTCACTGTATAAATCCACTACAGTTGTGGTGATGGTTTAATAGTTTTCTATAGGAGGGCGAGGAATTGCAAGAAAAAGCTCTATGTCTATAGTAGAGATTTTACACCCATGTACAGATATGTAGATTAGATTCTGCAACCCCAAATACGGTTCCCCCGAGTTCTGAGTCCAAAAGTCCCAGAATTTCTCTTCCTCTTGTAAATGACAGTGGTCAATCTCATCAAGCCACTATGATGGCTAAAATATGCAAACAGAGGTTATTATTTGAGCTGATTGATTGTATCATATTTACCTAACCTAAATTCCATACAGCACGTCTGGGATATTCTAGGTCTGCAACTCATCAGACCCTTCCTCGAAGCATCTAGATATTCTCTAAAAACCTACAACCCTCTTCTGCTTTTTAAGAATAACATTTGCTCCCATAGAACTTTACTGATTATTCAATTAGCAGTATGGAAAGACATTTTAAAGTGTAAATTTCTGCTAAAGGAAATCATATGCTCTATTATGTAATTATATCTTTAAGAACAGATTGAATGATGTTTCCTTTTTTTTTTTTTTTTTTTTTTTTTTCATAATTTCATATAAGGAATAATATTTTTGAATTACTGAAATACACAATGTCTTTATAAGTATTTAAACATAATTTAAATCTCCAATGTCCTTTTGTTCTGTAACAAAGGATTACTTAATTCTTTAACAAACAGAATCGCACTTAAACAACAAATTACAGGCTCTGGAACATAATAATACTCACAATTAAAAAATGAATACCTACTTTCTTTAAATTAAGTAATTTTGGAAAGCCTCTTAAGTTGTTGATGCCATTATTGCTTAAATTAAGAGATTCTAAATTCGTAAATTTTTCAAGAAGATTCAACTTTATTGGCTCACCACAGTTTTCAAGATTTAATTCAGTTACCTGAAAAACAAAATAGATTGTTCATAATACAGATGTTTTTAAAAAAACTCATATTACCTGTAAGAAAAGGGGGGAAATAAATGCATTCAATTCTTTTAACTCTTTCTTTAAAAAAAAATTTACTATTTCCAAACCTAATTTTTTTTTTTTAAATTGCTGAAAATATATACAAAATAAATGCAAATAAAAATACAAAATATTTTTGTAAATAAGCAGTTTTTTCCCTTGGCTTACCAGTGGTCAAATATGCGATATCTCATCCACTGATCTCCGGTTTTCCCTACAATGCACCCAATTTTTAAATTTTTAAAAATACACTGACACTATATGTATTAATTCTATTGCTCTGAGTGATCTTAGATAAATAGCTACATAAAAATCATTATTAAAATTATGTAAAAAATGTTTTGGAAAATGTTTTTCAACCTTGCCGTTAAAACAGCTGGAACAATCTGCCTTCGACATCAAAGCATACATAACACATTTATCACAAAAAACGAAATAGTTTATTAGTTGTTTTGGGGGTATGAGGGGGGTTACTTTGTCAAAAAAAATTTTGGCTACAAATTTCAAAAATATCTCGAATAGTTTTTTAGTTGAAACACACCACATTTGAAAAATTTCAAACCATGGAACAATACAATGTCACATATCACATCTCTCACAATAGCAGGGCTGTGGAGTCGGTAGCAAAAATGACCGACTCCGACTCCCTCACATATATATATATACAGTCAAAAGTCGTTAATTCGGACACCCATAATCCGGAATGATCTATAATCCGGACCTCAAAGCTAAAAACTTTCTGCGCATGCGCCGTGTTGCCACATGCGCACAGGCGTTTTACGCGTGCGCGTAACACCTTGACTACTGCGCTTATGCGTGTGCGCAAGTGCAGAATACGTTTTCGCCTGTGCGTTTAATGTATAACGGACGGTGTAAGCTAAAATTATCTAATTATCTATTTCAGTTAATGTTAATGATTGCGTTGTTCCTTAATCTTCGAATTGGATCACACTTATTATTTTTTGCAGACTGTAAGAGCAATTTTATAAAAGTAAACTTGAACTTTCGATTATGTCAAATAGAATTTCCGATGCTGGAGCTCTCAAAGGATCTACAAAACGAAAGTATGTTTCGATGTCCATCAAACAAAAAGTGGAATTGCTGCAAAAAATGGATAAAGACATGAAAAAGGTGACAGAGAGGTTAGTGAAAACGAAAAAAATTTCGATTGACAAGTTAGTCGGTATTCTCGGCACAGCAATTACGGGACTTGAACAGCAGAACTTTGTAACCGAACAAGAAATTATGTCTGCTTATAGAATTAAAGAGAAAGTATTATCACATAAAACGAAGCAACTTAAACAACTTACATTGAAAGAAATGTTTAATCAAGTAAACAAATAAATATTAAGCTTTTTTTTTTTTTTTTTGTAAATTTTAATACCCTTTAGATCATAATTGTTCTTTATTTCATAAATTACGGTTTCATATTTTTAATTTTAGAATTTCTGCATGCCATCTTACGAGATTTAAACTGATGATCTATAATCCGGAAAAATCGATAATCCGGAATCGCCGAAGTCCCGACGAGTCTGGATTAACGACTTTTGACTGTATATATGTAAACATATACACATGGGTTACAGCTTATTTTTTTAATATAAAAGAAGTAATAGATGCTACAGAAAAAAAATTGATGGCATAGCAAATTATTTATATTAATTAGCATTTATTATCAAATGGAAAAACTGGCATTAGTTATTTCTAAGAAACAATATACTTCTTTTAACTTTTCAGAATAGATTTTTATAAGTTCTAAAAGCAGTGTCTTGCAAGCGCAATCATATTTCTCTATTTCTTCAAAGGCCGTGTAGAAATCTTGTTTGTATTTTTTCATTTTTATATCTAAAGGCTCTTGTTGTTTATTTTCATTCGCTCTGCCTTAGCCTTTTCAACATTATGCAAAAATATGATACGCCTGGTTTCAATTTTCAAACTGTTGCCACCAAATATTATCGCCCTGTATTATATTTAAAGAAATTAAATAATAAAGAATCTGCATGAATGCATATATGTTACTCACAGTGTGATAAAACAACGGTACCTAGAGCCATTAAAATTTGAATAGCGTAATCATCCATAGAATATGGGCATGTGGAAGCCCTAATTTAAATTTGAAATTTGTTTTATTATCCATTTAATATTTTGCAACACTTCAATGAATTTTTGATTAACAACCTAAATGATTTCAAAGCGAGCAATGCAACACTGAATGAAAAAACAATTTTAGATTTCAAAGCGAGCAATGGCAACACTGAATGAAAAAACAATTTTATCTCCTGTATCGGAAATTCTAAAGATACGCTCATTTTAAAATTATTTTGCAATGGTGCTGTTGAACTGAATTTTATGGTTTAAGTGCTAGGAACATGATATTTAATAAATACAGGTAACCACAAAACGTTAAAAAAAGTCCTTTTGGACATAATTTAAAATCTGAAGATTTTTCAGATTTTCTTTATTTTTAAAATTTTTATAAATTTTTCAAAAGGAATTTTGAATTATCTCTACATATAATAAAAGAAAGAGTCTTTGTGTGTGTGTATGTGTCTTTCGTTCGCGCTGTGCGTAAGCTAATAGACCCATGGCTACGAAATTTGGTACATAGGTGCATCTAGACAAGAGCCAGTGCACCTCGAAGCGATTTTTTCGAAATTCGAATTCGAATTTTTTTATTTTATGTTTTGTGATGAAATTGCGTCATTTTTAGACATAATAGGCTATAGGAAAGCGAGATTTTACTCTATACACTCCCTTTTCACATCGTCATGAAACTTAGGCACTTAGCTATTATTTTACGAACTTAAAATAAATTTCGTGTTTCAATAAATCGATTAAATACGAATTTATTTAACAAAGGGAGCTTAACACCTTTTCAACGGGATTTTTTCTAAAAACGTTTATTTTTTTAAATGTACAGTTTATTTTTCTTTGATTTTTGGACACGTTAAACTTTCATCCTTGCGACTGCTTTTACAAAAAGAATTTTGGAAAAATGATAATATTTTGTATTTTTTAAAGAATTTTTTTAAATGAAGCTTCGGAGTACACTTCTCACATCTCATATCTTTAAAAATGTGGTTTTGGCAACAATTTTCGCGTCTTATTGTTGTTGATAGATTTTTGATGAAATCGCATCATTTTGAATTGTTTCATTCTTTTAGAAATATGGGTTTGGCAACAATTTTTCATCGTATTTCTTATCTTACTATTTTTAAGAGATTGGCATATTCAGTGTCATCTTTATATATATATAATACATTTTTATTGATAAAGTTGTTCTGCAGAGTAAAATTCTGCACGGACTTTTATGTTTTTTGAGTTGCTTTCATGTTATTTTTTACTTATTTCCCTGTTTGTAAGATATTGAAAAGTTTTGCCTGATTTTTTTTCTTCAATGGAAAGTTGGTTAATTTTTTTATTAGGATAATTAATATTTGTATTAAGGGATATAGCTTATTTCGTTGTAATTTTTTTCTCTTGAAAATATAAGATAAAATATCATTAATTATACTTTACTTTTCAGAATTTTTTGTTTTTTGTATTCTTTTATGTTATTTATTTGCTCAATTCACTGTTTTAAGATATTGAAAAATTCTGAGGAATTCTTTTATGAAACAAAGTTCTTAACCTCCTTTATACCATTGAGTTCTTAAGATTTTGCAAAGGGAAGTTGGTTAATTTACTTATTAGGATAATTAATATACGTATTAAGGGATATTGCTTATTTCATTGTAAATTTGTTATACGTAATAACTTTTTTTTATGAAGTTGTTCTGCAGAGTAAAATTTTACGCAGTTTTTAAATTTAACGTTTGGTGTTTCATTCAGCCATTTTTCGGGTACATTTAAAAGCCAGACGAAGGCTGGCAGCTAAGCTGCTAGTAACCTATAAAAGTGTTCCCATAATAGACTAGAAGAAAAACACGCTAATGTGACAATCAAAATCGTAAAAACAACCTTGTATTTAGCGTATGTATAATGAAACACTCAATCGATTTCAAGGGCAGCTAAAGGTCCCTCCTCATCAGGAGAAAGAAATACCTAGAAAGAAGAAAATAAAGGAGAAGGAGTCACAGAAACACATGGTCCTTATCAGCATTGCACGTGGTTATAACTAGATTTTTAATCAGAGTTGCACTGGCCGCCTACTTTTACTGAGCCAGGCTATCCGATCGAGCATGAAAAATTAGCGAAGTTAAAATAGGGAGCGAGGGGCAAATGCACCTTACGCTCAAAAATCTGAACTTCAAATAATGGAAAGCAACCACTGAACGGATTTTTATACCCTCTGGTAGTACCAAACGCGAGGAGGTAATGCCATCTATCGGCAAAAATAACTGAATTAAGATAGTAGAATTTTAAAGGCATTAGGAAGGACTGGATTGGACTTCAAATCATTAACTAAACCTGCTAAATCTTTGTGAATGTGAAAAGCCTCAAGAAAATCCAATTCACCTATGGAAGAAGCCTTTTGGATAATTTTTGCAGATCCAAAATCAAAATTATGGTTAAAAGTCCAACTATGATATGCTTGAAGTTTCGTATCAAGGAACATGAATCTTATGTCAAAAAAGGCGAAATTAACAAGTCTTCAATAGCATATCATAGTTGGACTTTTAACCATAATTTTGATTTTGGATCTGCAAAAATTATCCAAAAGGCTTCTTCCATAGGTGAATTGGATTTTCTTGAGGCTTTTCACATTCACAAAGATTTAGCAGGTCTAGTTAATGATTTGAAGTCCAATCCAGTCCTTCCTAATGCCTTTAAAATTCTACTATCTTAATTCAGTTATTTTTGCCGATAGATGGCGTTACCTCCTCGCGTTTGGTACTACCAGAGGGTATAAAAATCCGTTCAGTGGTTGCTTTCCATTAATTGAAGTTCAGATTTTGAGCATAAGGTGCATTTGCCCCTCGCTCCCTATTTTA